GCGGAATTATTCTGCAACGAAATTACTCAGACGATAAAAGATGATAAAAAGAATCTGTCCAATTCCATTAATGAATTCTTTCTTTCCTCAAGTTTGAATCCATTCATGACTCAGCGAGTCATGATCGACTTTCATTTATATCTGATTATCCTGGACAGATACATTTCCGTTCGGAAATTGGAAGAATTCAATGAAATGGAAAGTGTTCAGGAAAGTAGGCATTCTAGGCACGTGCAAATTATTTTAAAAAAATGAAATAAAATCGTAGATCTGGTTTTCGTTACACCCGAGTCGCGAAAGTTTCGAAATCCGGGGATGATTTATCACTCGCGGGTTCGCGGGTGAGAGTCGACGAAAGTAAAAACGATGCGTATACCCTCGGATCACTGTTTTGAATACTAATTGTTGTGCGAGATTTTTAACATCAACTACTCGGTTGATGCAACTGAAACACATTTGAAAACATGTGAACTCTTGCGTATCCGGTGATTGATCTGGGAAAAAGTGTAAGTGCTGCATGATCGAAGTCATATCATCGACTTCCGTTTCGCGGGGGAAAAAAATAATAGTCTTCGAAAATGGCTGATGAGTGAAAGTGGAAAAGGAATGGATGGGCTGGGTAATTTTCATACTCAATACACGAGAAATGCTCCATTATTTTTTTAGCTTCCTTCCATATTCTTCGATAAGAACAATTTTCTAGATCTCTCTAGCCCCAGTCCTCGATGTTCTTGCCGCACGCGAGGAAAAATTTTATGAAATATTTTTACAAATAGAAAATCCGCAAAAAATTCCACTGCATTTATATTAAAATTTCTTCCGCATTGCGAAATTTGGATTCTAGTAAAAAATTCGCATATTGTATCGCACGTTGTACAATAATAATTATTATTTACTAAAAAATATTATATAATCATTGGTTTTATGTATTAATTTACATCCTGATAAATATTGAATTCAATTTTCTTGATTGAAAGAGTCCCGTTTTTATTACGAAAAAAAACGAACACGAGGGTTTATTCCTGTTATTTAGTTTTACTAGTACTGAATAAATTTCTTTAAGACAAGAATTAAAATGGGAATTGTGTACCGAGATTCGAGGCATTGAGTTGGGTATTCCCCCGACAACAATAATTCTCTCCGCTATGTTAACAGAGAAAAATAAACTCGTGATATCAGAACAGAATTGCTTAGATTCAAGAAAACAACCTAGAAAACTCTCTCTTGAATCACGAATAAGTTTTGCGTAATAAAATCAACCTTTCTTGACTGTACAAACATTATTTTTAACATAAAAAATGGTTTCAACCTTCAAGAAACTATTTCTCCCTCATTCACGTGTGGCCCAGTCTATTATCCACAGAAGTGTTTTATTCAAATAAAATAAAGTTTATTTAATTGCATGTGCATTATCCAAAGATAAATCTCACTCTCTTTTCGGCAACGCCAATCCCTCATAACAACATCATTACCTCCCTTACGCAAGATTGACAAAACACGAAAAAAAAAAGTTAACGAGCATGTCATTTCATTTCCGGAATGTCTTAATTATAAATCTCCCACACGACAATTGAGCAAAAAATAACAAAGTTAGCTCCAATAGTCAATTGGACCATGCCAGCAGCGGGTAAACGTTAATAAAAATTTCTCAACTCTGCATTTCAACCATTACTCCAATTTAATAAAAACGTCGTAATTAATCAGAAAGAAACAGGAATAGCAGACGCTGTGGGTGAGAGAGAAATCCCATAACAATGGGGGGGCACTTTTTTGAGCTCAAGAACATCGAGAGCAACTGGGGGAAGTAGTGAACAATTGGTTTGCGGTTCTCACAAGAATGTTGGTCATTTCACGTAATTTACGGCACAGGCGTGTCATCCATTTACATCTGAAATCTCATGATGCATTTGTTCTCGACTCATACCAATTAATATCGCCCCAAAGGACATCACTTCCCACTGACAGAGCCATTTACTAAATTAATAAATTAACAAATAAAATTGAACATGATCAATTGAATTAAAAATTCGTCAATAGCCGAGAAATTCTTGTCGACCTTTCGAGAAGTAGAAGAAAATATACGGATGTAGTGAAAATTTTATGTAAAATACTTTAATGGGTTTGAAAACTATTTGCAAAATTTCAGAGCAATTGCAATCAGCGTTAATGAGTTATTAATTTTTCTTCGATAAAAAAAAATGCATAAATTTGTTGTACGTCAACCAGGAAGCCGCGGATTATCAATCGAGATTGAAAAAATAATTTATCAACAGTGGCAGACAACAGTGGCAAAAATCGAGAGGAAATTGCGTGATGTAATAATTGTCATGAGTAGATGTGAGACTGTTGAATCCCTTAGGGGCTCCTCCCCCTCGTAGACTGTTTGTAAATCCACAATAAGTCGTATTGCACACTATGGGAACTATTGTTACACATTTTACAGTACATCCACTGTTTCTTACATCTCTCGTTCGGTCGCTTTAAACTCCCACGTGGCTTTCACTTGTCCCCCGCGGATTCTAATGTCCCATTCGCTGAATTTTTTTTTAACAAGTCTTTTCTTCTCGGGAGTTAACATATTCGTCATTTTGTTCTCAAAAAACGTCCGGATGGATTTCTCCGCTATTTTTCCCTTCTCGAGGCATTTATTCTCGTTGCAAGCCCTGAAAGAAATCGAAAAAAATATTTTTTTCGATGATTATGCTCTATAAAAATAAATAGTTAAAATTTTTTTATCTCCAATTTTATTCATTGAAATCAATGTATTGTTATCGATTTTATTTATTTACAAATATCCCTTGAAATGTCTTCGTCTTGGGTATCTACAATCGGAAAAAATAATTATTTTTATCAAACGAATTAGTTTCACAGAAAAATCGGAAGTCGAATGGATTTTAGCCAAAAATTTCAGGCACTACCTGGCCTCCAGTATATTTACCTAGCAGGAATGATTGTTTCTCAACATAAAGGGTTTTTCCCTCTCACTTTAATTTCTTCAGTGAATTGCAGTAATTATTGTCACATAATTATCCAGAGGAATCATAGTTTAGTCTCATTTCCGCTTGAAATGAGTTTCGAAAAAA